AACCGATGAGATTTTGCAAATTTTATGCGTTTTTTTTAAAAAAAAAGGTATCAAGCTCTTAAAAAATCACCCGTTAGCTAGACGTTGAACATTTCCGCTTGAAATACCTATGTATTTAAGGATCTTACTCTTTGACTTTAAATTACAAAAGAGGGGGATTTAGGGGGACAGTTTTACGTAGCATCCCCAGGCCAAAGATATTAGTTAAAATTTTTATTTTGTTTGTCAGATCACTTCATCAGTGCACTTGCACAATATTCGCATTCGCAAAAGCTCCGCATTGATTATTGCGAATGCGTAAGCGAATGCGAATGTTAAAATTGATGTGGAAGCTCCGCTGTTGCGAATGCGAATGCGAACATTCGCACCAACCCTGATACATACATACACATTATTTTATAGTTACGCCTAGTGCTTTTTACTTAAATTTCTCTGTTTTCAGTAGCGCGTCGCTGATGATGGACAGCAGGTCTGCCCGAAATGCATACGTATGAACAAATAAAATAGTTGTTTTGTGTCAAAACTATCAAGTGTTTTATTTGGCTAACTCATTTTGTAGTCAATAAAGGAAGTACCTTTTTAACTTAACAAAAAGAAAATATCATTCGACTACAAAAAAAGGTTCAACTATTTTGATAAATAAATAATACCTATATAGTTCATATTAAAGTGTACTTAATCAAAAGTGTTTTATTGTATATTCATGAATTCATTTTATTTTTTGACTTCCAAAGTAGTGGATTTGGTCCATAATTGGATAAGTATTTTTTTGTCTATTTTGAACTAGTATGATACTGGTAAATTTCTGAACGAAACCTTACAATTGCCATCTCGTAAGACATCCCCATGTTAAAAATACCAGTCGATTGCATGGAAAAAAGATAGTTGGCTGACTAGTTGTCTATGTGGTTCATACTAGTTGTGAGGTAGTTTACAACTAGTACATTTGACTACAGGGTTGGTATGTGTACTTTTTTTCGGCGTAGGACGGATGATATTGAAAATAGGCAAAATCGGACAATAACCACGCCTACCTCCCATATAACGGTAGTTTTCAGAAATATTATTCACTCAACATTGACAGTTGCAATCATTTTCAGGCGAAAAAATTGGAATATTATAAATTTTTGGAAAATGGGCGTAGCCACGCCTACTTATGATTACACGTGTATATCTTGGGAACCGCGCCGCCAATTTCTCCCAAACCTGGCACGGTACAACACACCAAATGGCTGAAAATTTTTAAAATGGGACAATAACCACGCTTACATCCCTTATGATGTTTCCGATAATTCTTTAGCACAAAATACGTTCGTGATACAATTTTGGAAAATGGGCGTGGCACCTCCCACTTATGATCACATATATTTATCTCGGTAACCGTTCGACCATTATTTACTAAACTCGGTATGATTATTGTGCTTGCCACATAAAACCAAAACGCTGATAATTATTGAAATTGGACTAAAAATTACACCCACTTTTTATATAACGGTAAATTTCAGAAATGCTTGAAACTTTGATATTTCGAAATTTAAGGAAGCTAATTGAAACAAAATTAATACTAACAACAATCCCTTGAAAAGAGGTAACATTATTATGGAATTTTACTATATAAGTTTATCGAAGATGTTTGAAATAGGGATAAATCCACCCCTGCTTACCAAGGAGCGGTAGTTTTCGGAAAGGTGAAAAAACTATATTTGATACTTAGACTTTTTTACTTGTTTTCATTATAAACCGTTTTTGCATAGCATATTGTAAAATGTATACGTTACGTTACTAAGAATTACTAGTTACGTTACCACCCACTATTGAGAGTATACAAAGGTTGCGCCGATCTCGGACCGCTATTCCTCTCTTAACGAATTTGACAGAATCGTTGTTTGCATGACGTCACACTCGTGCAACCTGCTTTCGTTTTCCTTGCAACATTTTTTCTTCTTCTTCCATTCTTGCTCACGTTTTGGCATTTCTCCAATTGCAATTGCACCGGTGTGACGTCACACAAAAGTTATTCTCAAAAATCCTCTCTGATCGGCGCAATCTTGTATTCTATCATTCTTGGTTACCACCTCTGTATCTTACATACATATTAGGCTAGGTCGATTTTGTATGGGGGAAAATAAAGGTCATTTGATTGTATTGTAATAGTAATATTATGTTGTTTTAGGACTAGGGAAATAATAATTGGCCACAAAAGACTAAAATAAAGCATATCATTAGCCCGCGCAATTGATGCAAAGGATCAAATTTTGGAAAAAGTAACTTTGGTTCCTAATATCTAGGGAATAAGTTAACCGATTGAAGCAAACGATATATCAGATTTTAGGTTATACAATTTAGTATCTCGCGATCATATGTCATTTTGCCATAAGATTTCAAATCGCCGATATACGATATACAGGCAAAAAATTATCTTTTCTCATACATAAAAATTTGTAGTATCTTGTTACTTCAGTACCCAAGTGAATTAACTTAAAATTTTTTTTTTGAAGAAATCTGAAATCAGATTGTAATAAAGTGTTTCGAACTTCAATGCAGCTTATGACTTTCTAGCTAACGCTCCTGCGTTATCTTGCTTATATTTTTAAGTTATTTTTAATATTTATTATAGAAAAGTGTTCGTTGAGGAAAACTATGGATGTATCTAGCTTTTCCGTCATATCTCTGTCAATTCATACTTGATCGATACGTCAGACTTGCCAAACTAAAGGCCAGATTTATAGCTATTGACTCGGAATGATATAAGAACGCTATGATGGAATTCCATCATATTACAGGTAAAAAGGTTTTAGTAAAATTAATGTTTTTTTTACAAAAATATCTGTTTTAATCACAAAAGTCTATTTTTGCATGGTATGCGAGGACATAAGTTTTACAGTAGTTTTCCGATTTAACGAACACAATTATTGTCAGGCCAATTCGTTAAATCGGTTTTTTCTTTAAATCGAGTACTAAATTAAATGATTTATTTTTTAATTACATCGAATAAAATATTACAATTTTAAAAATTTATACACATTTGTTCTTTAAAGTGAGTACTTTATTAATAAAAAAACCAAAAAAAAAAAACAATAAATTTACATTGGCTGGCAATGTTTTCGACATGCAGTTGATTAAGAATGTTCACTTTTAATTTAGATTATGGAGCTTTTTAATTAACAACATAAAAAATCTTTGCATTTATTTGAAAAATTGGTTCATCATGGATTGTTTTTTTGGAATATTTAGATCCATTGTTACTGCTTCTTCTTGAAGCTCTACTAGTACAATCTGTTTTGTTGATTCAATATTGTTCTGTTTGGCCCACTTGACGCACACATCAAAACTTTTAATGGCATCCTCATGCTTAATTTTAAGCTCTTCAATTTCAATATTGTCGTAATTTTCGTCATGATCATCTTCACCATAATCGAAATCTTGCTCAGGCCCTTGCTGCACCCATACATTTAGATCATCGACGGTAAAACGGATCTTAAATACAACGTAGAGTTTTTTGTAAAATCATTAAAAGAGGTTAACAAATTTCCAATCAAAACATACGTTTGGAATCACTGAGTTTAGCAAATTTACTCCACTCCTCATTGCTAAAGTGTCTTCATCCTGCCGTAAAAAATCCCTTTAAGAAATGTTTTTTCATCCCAAAGCTAATGCTGTTGCAGAATCGTAAAGCGTGTATGATTTCAAAAACGCAATTACATCCTGGGTTTGAGTTGCGAAAAGCCTCGATAGAAGGGTACTTTTGTAGTGCAGCTTCAACAATCGAATTGCGCTTTGGTCCAAAGACTTGTATAAGTGGTGTAACATTTGGCAGTATATAAAGCACCCAAATTTTACCACTTGCTGAATTTTTTACCAAATCTTCAGCCGGGGGATGAGATGGAGCATTATCGTCAATTAATAGGCAAATTGTTTTGGGCGAGAAAATATTCTACCTTTGGTAAAAATCACAGTAAGAATAAAATAAAACTTAAAAATTGTTGAAAAATTTACCTGTGGAACAAATTTATCGAAAACCCAATCTTTAAATATGGTGCATGTCATCCACGCATTTTTTGAAGAAGTTTGTCTACAGGTATGCTTTTGTTTCGAAATGCCCGGGGATTTTGAGATTTGATTTTTTTTGTACCAGTGGCATTATTGCATAAAAGGACAGTTACTCTTTCCTTTGAGATTTTCCTTCCCGGAGCATTTCTCTCCCCTGAGTGCACATACGTTTTATCAGGCAAACTTTTCCAAAGTAGGCCGGTCTCATCGGCATTAAAAATAGCATCCTTTGACAAATCATGCTGTACAATAACTTCTTGCAGGTGTTTTTTAAATGGATCAACTAGTTCCACATTGTATGAAAGTTTTTCGACACTTTGCTTCAGAAATCGTATGCCAAATGTCTTTTTGAATCGCGTCAGCTATCCATGACTCGCATTAAAACTTCCGACATATATTTCTCGGCGTATATCCTTCGCTTTGTGTTGCAATATAGATCCAGTTATGGGAATGTGTTTATTACGCTGCGCCAAAAACCAGGAGAACAATTTTTCTTCCATTCTTGGAAACTTGCCACTTTTAATTGCTTTCCTATTTTTGGATTTGTAACTCGATCTTTCAGAATTTTTTAAAAGTGTTTCTTTAGATTTTAAAATTATTGAAACCGTAGATGCTCTTAGATTGAAGTTTTTACACAACTCAGATACATGCACACCTCTTTTATATTGATCAACAATTTTTAATTTTTCATGAAGGCACCATATTTTTCTGCTACTCATTTTTTAGCTTACATATGCATAGATGTTAACGCGTTGACCGGAAATAAAGAACTAATAATAAAGTCACAAAATCCAAAAATCAAAAGCAAATGCGGACTTAACTGTATTCTAACAGACACATTTAAAATGCTTTTGTTTTTTTC